AACCCCACCAGCAGCACCAGCAGCCGCAGCACCGCCGCCGCCGTGGCTCAGCCCCCCGCCCCCCCCGCGCCCCCCCAGGATCAGGAGCCGACGTTTTTGTCAGCATGAGAACGGATTTCCGAGCTCAACTTCGGCGTTGTCAACGTTTATTGGAACCGGGAGGGGGAGGGAACGGAACCGGAACCGGAGGTGTTGTTGGGGGGGGTCCCGAAATCCGCCTTCATGGGTTGGGTTTGGCCGTCACGAGAGCCATCAACCTGGCCCTACAACTGCAGGCGGCCTCACCTGGAGCCCTACAACTGCACGCCAGCACCTCTTCCGTCACCCTGCCCGCCTGGGGGGGCTCCGGGGACCCCCCCCAGCACCCTCACGATGATGAAGACCCCGACGTCCCCCCCCTGCCCCCCCAGGAGGATTCACCCGACGTCTCTGCCATGAGACCCCGGCACAACTCGGCCATCCACATCCGCGTGTGCCGCGAGGCTCCGTGTGTGTGAGGCGATGGGGGGGGAGCAGGGGGGTTCTAGAGCGTCGCCGAAGGGTTCTGGAGCATCAGATGGGATTTGTCAGGCAAATTTGGGGTGCTCCGAGAGGTTCTGGAGTATCAAATGGGACTTTTCCATTGAATTTGGGGCGTTTTGTGTGATTCTAGAGTGCCCTGAGATGTTCTGGAGCATCAAGTGGGACTTTTCCGTCAATGCTGAGGCATTGTGAGGGGTTCTAGAGCAACGAGTGGGACTTTTCTATTGAGGTTGGGCTGCCTCGATGGGTTCTAGAGCATCAATTGGGATTTCTGCATTGAACTCAGCACATTTTGTGAGGTTCCGGAGTGCCCTGAGATGTTCTGGAGCACTAAATAGGACTTCTCCTTCATGCTGAGGCGTTTTGGGGGGTTCTAGAGCAACGAGTGGGACTTTTCAATTGAAGTTGGGGCACCCTGGGAGGTTCTCGAGCACCAACTGGGATTTCTTCATCGAATTTGGGGCACCCTGAGAGGTTCTAGAGGGAGCCAGGAGGTTCTCGAGCGCTGAGTGGGATAATTCCGTTGAATTTTGGCTGCTCTGATGGGTTCTGGAGCAACAGCTGTGACTTCTCCATCAGAGTTCGGGTCCTCTGGGAGGTTCTAGAGCGGCAACTGGACTTCTTCCTCAATGCTGAGGTACTCTGAGAAGTTCTAAATCACAAATCTGGATTCTTCCATGAAATTTGGGGTACCCTGAGAGGTTCTAGAGCAACCCAAGGTTTTCTAGAGCACCGATTGGGACTTTTTTATCAACGTTGAGGTGCCCTGAGAGGTTCTGGAGCACCAAGTGGAACTTTTCCATCAATGCTGAGGTACACCGAGAGGCTCTAGAGTGCCCCAACGTGTTCTAGAGCACCAAGGGAGAGTTTTCAATTGAAGTTGGGGCATCCTAAGAGGTTCTCGAGCACCAGTTGGGACTTCTCCATGGAATTTGGGGTGTTCTGTGAGGTTCTGGAGCAGCAAATGGAACTTCTCCATCAACGCTGAGGCATGCTGAGTGGTTCTAGAGCGACCCAAGATGTTCTGGAGCACCAAGTGGGATTTGTTTCGTCAACATTGAGCTTCCCCGAAAGGTTCTGGAGCGACCCGAGGGGTTCTGGAGGGGCAGCTGGACTTCTCCATCAACGCTGAGGCACCTCAGGAAGTTCTGGAGCGTTCCCAGAAGTTCTAGAGCACCAATTGGTGTTTCTTTGTTGAAGCTGGGGTGCACTATAGGTTCCAGAGCACCAAGTGGGACTTCGCTGCCAACATTGGGAGGTTCTAGAGCATTCTGAGGTGTTCTAGAGCACCCAGTTGGGTATTTCTATTGAAGTGGGTGTCCTCTGGTAAGTTCTAGAGCACCAAGTGGGACCTTCCTGTCATTGTTGAGGAACCGTGAGAGGTTCTGGAGTCCTCCAAGATGTTCCAGAGCACCAAATGAGACGTTCCTGTCCACATTGAGGAACCTCAAGAGGTTCTAGAGCACCTTAAGTTGCTCCAAAGCACCAAATGAGTTTTTTTCTGTCAAGCGTGAGGTAATTCAAGAAGTTCTGGAGCGCCCCAACATGTTCTGGAGCAACAAATGGGATTTTTTTCATGTAGCTGGAGGACCCCAAGATGTTCCAGAGCGCCAAAATAGGTCATTTGTCACTATTCAAGCATCCCAAGGTGTTCTGGAGCACGCTAGAATGTTCTAGAGCAGCAGATGGAACTCGTATGTTCTGTCTTGAGGCACGCTGAGATGGTTCTAGAGCGCCCAACAGGACTCCTGTGTCAACATTGAGGCACACTGAGAGGTTCTGGAGCGCCCCAAGGTGTTCTAGAGCATCAAATAGGTTTTCTGTGTTGTCATTGAGGTACCCCAAGATGTTGTGGAGGTTCCCAGTGTGTTCTGGAGCACCAGGCAGGGTCTATTCGTCACCATTGAGGCACTTTGAGGTGTTCTAGAGCACCAGGTGGGCTTTACGTGGCAGTGCTGAGACACTGAGAGATTCTGGAGCACCAGATAGGATTTGTCTGTTAGCATTCGGGCAAACCACGGTGTTCTAGAGCACCAAATGGGTCTTGTCTGTCAACATTGAGGCACCCCAAGGTGTTCTGGAGCACCTGGGGATGATCTAGAGCACCAGCTAGGATTTCTGTGTCATCATTGAGGCAGCCTGAGATGTTCTGGAGCACTTGGAGATGTTCTAGATTGCCAGACAGGCCCTATTTATCACCTTTGCAGCACCCCGAGACGTTCTAGAGCACCAAATGGTTCTTGTCTGTCAACATCGAGGCACCCCAAGGTGTTCTGGGGCACCTGGAGATGTTCTAGAGCACCAGAAAGGATTTCTGTGTCATTGAGGCAACCTGAGATGTTCTGGAGTTCCCCGAGATGTTCTAGATTGCCAGACAGGCCCTGTTTATCACCTTTGCAGCACCCTGAGACGTTCTAGAGCACCAAATGGTTCTTCTCTGTCAACATCGAGGCACCCCAAGGTGTTCTGGAGCACCTGGGGATGTTCCAGAGCACCAGAAATGACTTCTGTGTCGCCATTGAGGCAACCTGAGATGTTCTGGAGCACTTGGATATGTTCTAGATTGCCAGACAGGCCCTATTTATCACCTTTGAAGCACCCTGAGGCGTTCTAGAGCACCAGGAAGGAGCTCTGTGTCGCCATTGAGGCACCCCAAGGTGTTCTGGAGCACCTTAAAATGTTCTAGAGCAGCAGCTGGGATTTCTGTGTTGTCATCGAGGTAACCTGGGACGTTCTAGAGCACCTCGATACGTTCTAGAGCACCCCAAGGTGTTCTAGAGCACCCCGTTGTGTTCTGGAGCCCCAGGCAGGACCTGTTTGTCTCCACTGAAGCACCCCAAGACGTTCCAGACGTGGACATTACCCCAAAAACGAGGGGGGGGGGATTTGGGGATTCTATCACCCCCCCCCCCCC